CAGCGAGGACCCTCAGTGATGGAGCCGGTGCACCTCAGTCTCCCAGGGCAGGAGCCAAGGGGTCAGCTACTCCGTGAGCTCACGCGAGTTAGTGTCTGGGAAGGCGGGGCTGCAGGGACCAGGGAGAGCCCTGAAATGTGGGGCCGGGTCTGTGGCAGGGACGGGTGGGAGCTGCCCCGCGATCACGGCGTCGCCGCTCTTGGCGCTCCTGCAGGGCGCGGTCAGGCTTCACTCGCCTAAGACTGGGAAGCGGTTTCTGTGACTCTCCCCGTCTGCAGCGAGGAAACTCGGGCTTGGAGGGGTGGAGCGACTTGCCCCTGCCGGCGTCACTAGTCAGTGGTGCGGCCAGGCCGGCATCTCGGTTCCGGTTCCGACCTGCTCCCTGACACGCAGGCGGGGCCTCAGTCGCCGGCCGGCGGCAGGTTGTGCGGCTGGTGTGCGCAGATTATTCCTCGCTGGTTGGTAAGCAGTGGCCTGTGCTGTCTCTCGCCTTAGCTGGCTTTATTTTTTTAATACCATTTATCCTTGACGTTATTTTCTAGATTTCTTTGCTTATCATTTGCCTCCTTCGTTAGAACCTGAGATCCGAGAGGGGAGGGATTTGGCCCCGTCTGTTCATAGCTGTTTGCCGTGATCCTTGAACAGCGCCTGGCACGTAGTAGTTGCTCAACAAATATTGTAAAATCAATAATACAATTAATAACCATCACGTTCAAGCATGTGCCAGGTGCTTGGCATGTTTTAAGTCCCTTGATCCCAGGAGAATTGTTTTCCCCGTGTTAGGGGCGAGAGGACAGAACCACAGGCAGGTCTGGGAACCTGCTCAGGGTTGTGTGGCTCCGAAGAGCTAGAGCGAAGATTCTGATGCAAGTACTTTGGCTCCAGAAATCGGGTTCCTAAATGCTAAGCTTTATCGCCTTTCATGAATGGGTGAATGATTGGTTAAAACAGATTTATATGAGCTATAAAAATGTACTTAGTAACGCATTTCAAAGTAAATAGTTAATAAAAGTAAATTATATTAATAATGAGGTAATATTTTTCTCTTGTTAGGAAATGATGGTTAATGATTAAGACAGGTTTCTGGAAAAAAATGTGTTTTAATATAGGCTCAGATTCCTGGAAGGTTTGTTGTTATGGCATCACATATAATCTACTGGTCCATAAATGAATACTGTTTTTTTTAAAGGCTAGTAAATCTGTCTGATATATGTTCCTAACTGCATATTATACATCTTGGTTATTATCCTCATAAGATAGACCTACATCTTATGGAAGAAATTATAATAATAAACAGATGTTAATTTTCATCATGATTTATTTGTTGGTCTAAAAGCTCAGTTCAGTGCCTAAGAACTATATAATGATTGGGATTTAGAAATACAGTTGAACTGGAATCAGTCTTAAAACAAGATTTAGTCCTTCAGAACCTTTGCCTAACACTGAACAAATGTCTTGGCTTTTGATTTCTAATTTAGTACTTGGTCTGAGTAATGGGATTGAATTAGACCATAAACGCCTATACTGCCAGGCTTATATTTTAAATTAAGGTATGGACAGGTTACAAATAGTGGGAAATAGTCTGTGGACAAAGGAAAAGGCCAACATCATGGAGTTACATTAGTTGAATCTTTTCCAGACAGAGGCAGAAAGACAAAAGTGGTTCACAACCAAATTTGCCTAGTAATTAAAGTTATTTATGGTATTTAAAATATTAATCTGTTTTGATCCATGTTCAAATGTTGGCTTTTTCGTTCATACTATTAATATTTCTAGATATAAATTTTTAATGATCTCTCCCTCCATATTCAAGAATAACGGGCTCTCTCCATGCTGAAAGCATTTTTAGAGTGCTTAGCTGTGGAATCAAACCCCTTTCCCAAATGAAGGTGATGAGTATGAATAAGAACCAGGTAATGAATTAGAGTGTTGATTTTGAATTTGTTGGTTCTCAATAATTATTATTTAAATATGACTATGCCTTAATAAAACATGTTCAGAGGAAGTACTGCCTGAAGGTCCAGTGGGCTTTCTGACTTCAAAGTGCTTATTAGCAGACCATGGTCAATGCCGATGGTAGAAAATAAAGGGAGACTTTGGATCAGTGAGACAAATAGCATTAACATAAGATGTTTAAATTACTGTGACCAACTTTTTCACTGTTCTCCTTGCCTGTCATTTACCCATATTAGATTATTTGTATTTTTAGCCCCTTTATGCTTGCCTCTGTTAGGGCATTATCTAATTGTTGGTAGAATTTTCCCCGCCTTTTAGGTTTGAAGTAGTAGCATGGTTTGGCGAATAGGCGTCATTTCGGTTGATGGCAGGTGCCACTGCAAGCATGGGTGCCTTTACTGTGGCTTTTACAACAGAGGACTCTGTTGATAGAACATTTTCTTACTTTTTCTTTGATTTTTCATCTGAAAACTTTCTTATTCATCCATCCAATTATATATTAAAAGAACTCTCTTTGTATCTTAAAGTGCTGTAAGGTGGTGATGCGGCACTCTGAAGGAGGTCTAAGTCTTGTGGCGGTGTAAATAGAACAGAACATAAATTGTCACAACCACAAGTGGTAAAACTGAGATAAGATCGTTTGATCATTTGATGGGAAATTTGATTGTGACCTTTTAAATTATTTTATCTTACAAGTGCTAATACACACGAGTATGTGTGTATCTAAGTCTGGGTCTGTGTGTGTTCATACACAGAATACACACACACATATACACATATACACACATATATATACACATATACATATATATAAGACAAGAATAAAAGCTCTTGGTCCCTTTTGAGGATTAGTAGGTGAAAGTTTATAAGTGAAATGGCTTAATCAAGAGTAGGTTTCTGAGCATCAAGGTAGGACCTATTTTATATTTTTGAGATAAAGGTATTGGCACATATCTGGAGAAAATTATGCACAAAGCACACTGGTTTATGAAATGTTTCTACTTGGAGACAGAGAGGTACAGAAAACTTGATTGCCATTTTTGTGTTCACCAACTGAAGCCAATATGAAAGCCAGGCATATGATTTAGAAAACAAGAAGTAACGGAGATGGGAAAGATTGTAATCCACTAGCAATCCACAGAGTTTATTTTAGTCTAGAATTTAACTCTTTCTCTGTGCTGACTAAACTTTGCCTACAGCACTTTTATTGTCATGACAGGAGGTTTTCACACGTCTGTCTTTGCGTCTCTGCCAGGAAAGGGCCCTCACAGCCTTTCTGCTGAGGTCACCGTCTGCGTGTAACACCTACTGACATCACTTGGATAGTTCCTATAACTCGGAAGGGTAGTTCTTGTTTGGAAGCCAAATTTTTGTATTTATTTCTGCCCAAAATAATTTTTTACTTACAATGCATTTTAACTTTATTTTTCTCACTCCTTTCCAGTCTCTGTTCATGTGTGAATGTGTCTTACACAGTTGGAATCATGTCTGTTTTTTCATTTAACATAAAGAAGTTCCCATGGTTATAATGTCTTCATTATTATAATTTCAGTTGCTACATAATTGCTCATTTGCTACTTACTTTCTTATAAACCTTTTCTTAGTATTTGCTGTGTTTCTTTTCTAGCTAGTTCATATCAGCACACACCCATAATAATTTGAAGGTTTTATGCAAATGTTAATATTACTAGTTTTCTTCACATATGATTTTTGTTCTTACATGATCCCTCATGAGTATATATATGGCATCTATATGCATAAAGCATATAGCTATGTATGTATATATGACATATGTGTATAGCATATAGCTATTATGTCTGTGTATGAGTGTGTGTGTGTGTGTGTATAAATATAAATACAAATACACATAGCAGTTTTTGAAAAGACATTGAAAATGACTGCAAGATTCAGAATCAACAGTAGGAAAGCCCAGAATTATATTGGGTAGCTGTTAATTCATCCTTTAGGGTTTGCTTTTTCTAACGTGCCACACTGTGTGATTGGACCCTTGATTACTGTTTTTACATTTCATATTTGTACATGGAAGCTAAAAATACTATATAAAGAAATAAGGCTTATTTGAGACTCCAAAGATTTATATTAAAAACCATTCTTTTCTTCCGAAATAATAAACTTATATGAACTTCAGGACTGGTATGGAATCTTCATTACTGTGGTAATGTTTCAGATAGTTAATCATTTCTTCTTAAGTCTTTTGTCTGTAACAGTTACCAGGATGTAGGTAGTATAAAACACAGAACATACTGAAGTTTGTTGTGGGGGGTGTTCAGGCGTATTAGATTTCTGACTTTTGGCTTGTCACAACCTGAAATTCATTGACTAGTGCTTAACTTCAAAGCTAACATTTATAGTTTAACAAATATTAGTCTCTTTCTTTATGTATGTGTCTCCATGCATATTCAACCATAGTTGTATCTTATTTCTGGATCTTAGTTCCTCCGAAGTTTATAAATTCTGAACTTCCATCATTATGCTATTACTGTTTTTGCCTTATGAACCCTTAGGGATTCTATTTCTAGTATACACATCCAAAGCTCTTCATTATGGTGGTGTTTCAGTGTTTTTAGGGCACTCTGAAAGTTGTTTTCTTCACGTGAGGTAAATTGGGCATTATACGCTCTTGTTGAGCCGAGGTGTTTTATTTTCCGTGTACTGCCGCTGTTGTGTGTACAATAAAAACTGTCCTTACGCCGCTGAGTTTCCCTGACTTCCCCGGGCTCTGCAAGTTTCAGGTCAGCTCTGGTCTCACTGAGGACCCTTCTTGGAGGTTGTGGGCCCTGTTTGGAGCCTGGCTGGTGGGGAAGTTGTGTGGATTCAGCTAAAATCCTTTGTTTCTAGTAGCTCCTGAAGAGAAGAAAAGAGAGAGTGGTGTAAAGAATAAAACATCAGATCTTTTAAAATTAAAAAAAAAATATATATATATATATTTTAAATATCTGGTCTTAAATCTGAATCTTTTAAAAAAAATTGTGGTCCTATTGCCTGTTCTATTTATTTCTCTGCTTTGATGGCTGTTTCCTCAGGAAGGCCCCCGAGTGCTCCTCCTCCACCAGCTTGCCCAGCAGGAAGGCGCATGGACCATACTTCCGCTGTTACCGCAGTACGTTCACTGCGCTGTGTGCGTGACCGGCGTCTGCCCGACCCTTGGGGGCTCCCTGGGTTTCTTACTAAGAGGGGTTTTTCCTCGAAGTTAGGAAAGTAAAGGAAATTTGGACTCTGTTTTTCCTTCTCACTACTCCCTTAATCAGATTTCATGATGATTGGTTCTTAATCAAGAATAGCTTTTATTTTTAAATATGTTTCTCTCGTAAAAGATATGATGTCGATATATTTGATATTTTACTTGAAAAGTATCTCTCTTCTGAATTGCTGCTTGTCATGGAAAGAATTAACCTTAAGAACTCTAGCTGTTTCATAAACCCGTAGAATCCAGCTTTCCTATAAGCTGAAACTATACAGGAGAAAAATATAGGGGGAAAAAAATCCAGGTTCCTTGCCATTTTATATGTTCTTCATCCATGTCCCACTTATGAGTTTTAAACCTTATTATAGAAGTGATTACTATAACCTGTTTCTTTCTGTCAGCTTTTCTGTAACATATAGCAGAAATTCATCTTGGATTTTCTTCTGTGAAGAAGAGACAAGAATACAAATTCCAGAACTCTTAGAAACACTCAGAAGATACGACCCATCAAAGGTGAATACAGTGTCCACACGGGTACTTATCTTTTGGGGAAAATGCTTAAAAGAAGTTTAACTTTGATTAAGAGCCTTTTCAGTCTAATAAAAACACTTAATTTAAAATTTAAAAAAATGAAATAATAGTTGGCTATCTGGAAGCAATGTTAAATAATTCTCTTTGTAGTTTGGAGCTTTCAGAGGATGGAACTTATAATGAGCCAATTTCAAATGAAAAAAATATCTACATGTGTTAGCAGTTTTAAAAAGTTAAAAACTACACCCTAGAGTTAAAAAGTAAGTTTAAGTTGGTTATTTCTCTTCGTCAACAATGACCACACATTATTTTAGATATTAAATATTTTTTGAGGACCACCTGTGTATCAAGGAGTGATCGTAGGGGTGAGGACAGACAAGGCTCCTGATCACCTGCATGGTACAGAGTCGCAGGGGGAGGACGGACTATGAAAGGAGCAATTACAGTTAACAGTGAGACACCTTACGAAGGGAAACACTGGGCTCTATTAGAAGCACAGAGCAAGGCCTCAGACCTGACCTGGGAAGGTCATGACAGGGAGTGACATTTAATCCAAGCCCTGTGGGATGAGTAGAGGTTAAGAAGAGGAAGCATTTTAAGCAGGGGAACAATATTTGAGAAGGTCTGGAAATGAGACAGAAGGCATCTTATGTGAGAAGGTCATCACTGTATTCATATTTCTAAATTTTACCTTGTGCAGATATGATGTCACAATTGGATCTTGTTTGGATCTTGTTTACATCCCAATTCCTAGCGCTGAGGGGTGTTCAACACTTAGTAGGTGGTCAGGAAATATCTGTGAAGGACTGCATGACCCTATAAGGACAGCAGGACAGCTGGGCTGCGTTCAGTGTCTCTGGAGGTGTAGAGGCTACCCTGAAAATGTGTCCAGAGTAAATCAGGCTGTTCAGTTCTCTTGGAGAAGGCCAGGTCACACCCTGGTCACTTAATGGAATTCTTTACACGTGGAATAAGCAGAATTGGGCCCCTTCTGGTACCACTGGACACTCAGCTCAGCCCTGTTCTGATGCCCACTGCAGGCGGGAGTCGGGTTTAACTGGCACGTGGATGAGGAACGGTGGGTTGGTTCTGGGGCCCTGCTTGGTTTGTTGATGTAGACACACAAAGTCGGGTAGCCGTCACCATTAGATTAATTCTCAAAGGCTGGAAAGTTTGTTACTATAATAAAACCACTAGTTTTCATGCCTTTTAAATGCTGGAAGGACCCATTATGATTTCTCTTTATGCTTTTGAGTTCTGGGAACGTACAGATATAATTGAATGAGAAAGTTGTTAGGTTAAAAAAAAATTCCTTCAAAGGAGAGAAGAATTATGAACGTGTCTCATGCAGGCTTCTGAGATCATGCTAAGCACCATCTGTGTACTTCGTGCTGTGTTTTATGTCAGACGTTTGTTAGGCTTTTATGGTTTCCTTTGACTTGAGGAAAACTCCCAAACCCTTTTTCGGATGTAGGAGTTTTAGTCTCCTCCTAGTGTCCATTTCGCCTGGAGGTTATTTTCGCATTCGCCATAGCTCTAATTCTGTACAGAAGATGGTGACTCACTGTACTTTAAAATGAAAATTAGAATGATAAATCTAAAAGTTCAAAGCAAGTTCATGAAAAGCAAGTACAGAACAGAGGTAAAAATGAGATATTTTCTTCTTTTTCGAGCTCTACCATGTGGAAAAAAAAATCTAGATGCTTTATTTCTTTTGAAACTAACATGAGGAAGTAAGAATTACATAATGTTGAAGTTAGCCAAACCAGTGTGGGTTTGTCCTTCTACCATAAAAAATTTTAGGAAAAAAGCATGAAACAAACCTGGCTTGATGTTGCTACATATGAACTACATTAAAATAATAATTATATAATGCATTAGGGTTACCTGTTATTTTGTTTGATTCTGACTTTTTCCCTTCAGTATATTTTCTGTCATTCTTATTAAATGCAAATTTGTGCTTTTATACACTATTTTAAATGAAAACCTTTAATCTTTACTAAAGTGATTAATCTTTGTTAAGTCGCCTTTCTAGGTGATTTCTATACATGTCTGTATCTTACTGAAGTCTTTCTGTTTTTCCTCACAATGTGCTTTTAATATGTGTGCATTGGTGAAGCGTCTTGAATTTTTTTATTTTTAATAGAGGTGAAACACGAGTGCTGGCAAAGAGTAACTCTGAGATACTAAAAAGGACATTGTCTGACCTACTCTTATGCAGTTTGTCTTGATCATAATTGTCTTTATTAAGAAGCCATTAAGAAAATCGCTAGGAAAGATGGGGAGGTGCCTCTTCACTCAGTCTGTATTAACTTCTCCCTTAGAGCAGTTTACAGTATAACCCCGCCACCAAAATAATGGAAAACAACCTTAGATGCTAGGTAATAGCTGAATACCACTATTAGTTGTTAAAACATAAAAGCGTGTTCTGTGTAAATACATGTTTGGAACGGGAGATTATGATAGTGAAAGATCAGTGAGAAAATGCTAAACTATACTGGTGTTTATGTTCTTTAACTTTAAGTAAGCTGTATTTGCATAGTATGTTAAATCTGAGGATTTTCACATTGGTTAATGTTTAGTAGTTTGAGTTTTTCAAAAAGATGTTGAATTTCCCTCTCAGGCGACGGCTGCTGGCCTTGTAATTACTTCTCTTGCCCAGGGGTGACTTAATATATCCATGGAGTGTCGAGAGGAAATCCTCAGGTGGGGCTGTGGGCCCGGACACAGCTGGGTTACCGGCTTTCACATACGTTCGTTTATGACTTGTTGATGAAATGACCCAAGTGTGAGACTCTGGGAGGTGCCCGGAACACAACCGTAGGCAGAAGGCTCTTAGGAGACAGTCTGCATCCCTCCTGCAGCTTTATTTTTTGATAAGAAGTGGGGAGCAAGGTGGTGGTGGTTGGTAAGAGTGAAGATATACGAGGCTTTTAGTCTACAGGGTAGCTGATGTAAGTGGCATGCTGACGTTTCCTTAGCAGCTGCCTCTGAAAGCTCTCCCGGGCTTGCTGTGTTCATTGAACACAGCCCTCGGGAACATCTGTGACGTGGTAGGTACCCTGGGGATACAGTGGGGAGCGAAATGGACAGCATCCCTGGTCACCAGGAGGGGATGTTCTCGTGGCAGGGGGACAGGCAGTAGACAAACTTAAAATAATGTGTCAGACAGTAGTAAGTGTCTGGAGAAAGAGAAAGCAAGATAAGAGGGATAAAGGATAGGCTAGGGACGGGCTTGCTTTCCTGTATAGGGTGTTCAGGAAGTACCGCACAGGTCAGGTCACATTTGAGCTAAGTGTGAAGGGACCGAGGGAGTGTGCCATGGGCGCCCTACTCTGATGTCAGGCGCCTACCTACCTGTCTGACAGGAGCCCCCAGCTCAGCGTGTTCAAGACCGAACTCCTCACCCCCCTTTTAACCTCTTCCATCTTCAGTCCCCTCATCTCAGAAATGGCTTCACTGTCTATCCAGTTGCTCATATAAAGAACCCTGGGGCTGGTGGTGGACTCCTCTCCCCTGAACCGCAGCTGAGTCTGCCTCCAGAATCCATCTGCTGTCCATCTCCTCTCCCTGTTGAACGCCTGCACCCTCCCGCTGACCGTGACTAGAGCATCCCAGCTGGTCTCCTGCTCCCTACTCTCGCCATCCTGACAATCCCGTATCTCTGTCATTCAGACCACCTCGCCCACCTGCTCACAAGCTTGTGTGGTTCCCCACCCCGCCTAAGAGAGATTCACTAGGTGTAGCTCTCCGGGTCGGCAGCAACCTCCTGCCACTGTAAAGATGCTCCCTTCTTTCATGTCTCCCGTTTTTGTTGAAAAGTTGTTCTATTTTTGCTCCTTTGAAAGAAACGTGTGCACCCCTCCCCGAAAACAACTTTTAATGTTTTCTCTCTCTTTGGGTTTTCAACCGACATATGTCTGTGGGTGCTTTTCTTTGTATTTGTCTTGACTAGAGTTTATAGAGCTTCTTGAATCTATGGCTTGATGCTTTCTGTCAGTTTTTAAAGAAGATTCTCAGCCTGTATTTCCTCAAATGTTGATTCAGTGCCATTGTCTCTCCCTGTCCTGGGTTTCCAGCATCATATATTGTAGAACTTTCATTGTGTCCTATGTTGTGTTTAAGCTCTTTTCTGTATGTTCCTCTTTGTTTTCCCTTTTGTGCAGCAATATGGATATTTTTCCACTGAACTTAACCTTCCAGGGTCACTAATTCTCACTTCTATTATGTCTAATATCCTCTTGAATTCCTAATTCCAGTTACTGCATTAATTAGTTTTAGAATTTCCATTTGACTCCTGTTTATAGATGCTAGTTTTTTGGGGTAAAAATCTTCATCTTTTCATCTATTGTCTTAAACATTAATTGTAGTTATTTTTTAACTGCAGAATTTGATGTATCTATGAATCTCTCATTTTTCAGTTTTCAGTCTGGTCTTGTTTCTTGGCATGCCTGGTAATTTTCCATTAAATGTTAGATATTTTATGTGAAAAAGAGGTTATGGATCATATGCTGTTCTGTAGGAGGGTTTAATCTTCCTCTGGGTTGTAGACCTTGTTTGGGGAGGTCTATTTACAGACGCCCTTACTCCTGGACGCCTTTCTCCCTGGCAGACCCTTCTGGCTCCCAGAACTGTCGCTGAAGTCTTTGCTCAGCTTTTTAACTGCTGCTTCCGTTTGTTCTTGGTTTTTGTGCAGCCTGGGAATTGACGGGAAATTGCAGGCAAAATGCTGGGCTCCCTTCTCTGGGATCCCCTTACATCTCTTCCTCCTTGGCAGCCTCCAGCTCCAGCCTCTGTCTCTGCAGTCCAGCCGGGTTGCAGGAGTCCCCACCTGCTTTCTGTTGTGTGCTGTTCTCTGCTCTGGGACCAGCAATCCCTTGGGGTGAAAGGAGGTGAATATGGGGCTCCTGGGGGGCTCCGCTGCTCTCTGGGAGATTAGCCTTCACATCCCATTTGCCTTTGTCATTTTCCGGTGCCCTCAGTCTTTGCTTTAACAGCATCTCCAGCTTTTAGAGATTGAGTCTGACCCAGACTCTGACATCTAAGCCCTGGTCTGGCTCCTGCGTCTCTTTCATACTGTTTCCCATACCCAGTCTGTTCCAGCCACACCGGGCTTATTTCTTCCTCGAATGTATCAAACGTTTTCTCACCTCAGGGACCCTGTATTAACGGCCTCACCTGCTCCTCCCCAGATTTGTGCACAACCGGCTTCTTGATGTTGTTTAATCTCAGTTCAGCTGTTCCCTCCTGAGAGCCTTCCCTCCCACGGGGACCCCCAGTCACCCTGGTTCGTTTTTGTCATAGCACGCTGCGGTCACGTCTAATGTTCCTTTACTTCCTTCCTTACTCTCTGTCTCCCCACTGTGTCAGCTCTGTTCCCACCTGGTGTGGGATAAATGTCAAATGTTAATTGATAACAAATAATAATAAATGGTAATTGCACGAATAAGTGAATGGATAAAATAGGCATTGATTCCGGGAGGAATTTTTCAAATTCTTCTTTACAAACATCAGTGGGACATAAAGGAACACTGTTTTCCTTATATTAATAGTATTTTGATATGGAATATTCTGTAAAATACCACTTTTATACATTTATAGTATAATGATGACTAACATTTTGTTTGCCCTGATGGTCTGATCTTAAGTTACTCTCATCATAGACAAAGATTATGCTATATTCATTATCATATGAGTATTAATTATATTTTTGTTAAAATTCTTCAAAAAAAAATACATAATCTGTGCTTATTCTCTGTCACCCAGAATACTTAGCTGAGACTCATGATACTAATTTGTTTTTGGTCTTGCATGAAATGGCTTTTTAAACATTTCTGTTATCTTTATTTAACAGGAATGGTTTTTAGGAAAAGCCTTACACGATGAAGAGTCTACAATAATTCACCATTATGCCTTTTCTGAAAACCCCACAGTGTTTAAGTATCCAGACTTTGCTGCTGGCTGGGCCCTGAGTATGCCACTTGTAAACAAGTAAGAATTTATTAGACTTTCTTTTCATCTCATTTCATGTATGAATCAACTTTTATTTCCCTGAGTCTTGTAACTGATGGATCTCGGTGAGGTTGCTGAAAAGCAAGTGGTAGAGTGGGGGCCTGCGGCCAGAGCCAGACGTGGGGAGCTCTTGCTTCTGCTCCGTCTCGTGCTGGGCCCCTTGGACTCACCGCCCAGCTGCTCTGAACTTCCTCTTACTCATCTGCAGAGTAAGGCGAATGATGACCTTGAGCCTAAGGGCGCACACGGAGGTGCTCTGGGAGCTCTGCATGTGGAGGCCTGAGCGCTGCTGGTGGTGGACCTAGAGAGCTCTGGGTGTGCCTGGCTGGCAGTGAGGAGACGAACAGCAGGAGAGCAGGGCTGAGGTGGGGGGCTCACTATGTGCAGGGGACACACGCGTATCCGAACTCGGGCTGGGCCGGAGGCGCCGCTGAGAGGCGCTGTGGATCACCGTACGGAGCTGTTTGTGTGAGCACGGTCGTGCTTTTCCAGGTGTGAAAAGTGAGGATAATTAGGTCGTAATCCAGAAGCAATAGGGTTGTTGACCGGCTTTCTCTGAATCTAAATCATGTGAGTTGGTTGTGTGCGTTTGTTCTTTAGGGAGTGGAAAGTTGATAACACATCTGCGAAGAGTGTTTCTATTACTACAGTAAGTGTCCTGTTTCTAGGAGAGTGTCCTGTTTCCTGGAGAGTTTTTGGCTTGCTGTAGATGGTAGATATGTTGTCATTTGTCGTTGGCCAAACTTCTTGATGACTCCCTTGGTATTTGAAAGGATATACATCCTTCCTAATGTAGATCTGAAAAATGGCAACAGCAAAATCTGTTTTCTTGCCATCCTGGCTACCAGGAAACCGCTGTATGATACAGGGTCCATCAGCTAGAAGCACTGTAGGAAATTCTTTCTGGGAACTGACTCATCTGGGGAAGGAGACAATGCATGGGGGGCCATGTGGCTCGAGAGATCATGACAGAAGAGGGGTCTTTTGGGGGCTGGCAGCTGAGACAGTGGCTCCCTGATGGTGCGTTTCTAAATCTGAGGGTGTAGAGGTGCTGAGGGCCTGGCAGGTGCTGCGGCTCCGGCTTAACACTTCTCTCGGAACCCCCTCAGGCTGGGCCTGTGACTCACTGCCAGGGCTCCTGCACTGGCCAGGAGAGCAGTCTTGTCCAGGGAGACTCCATGTTAGGGGTTAACTGGCATTTTGTAGAGCTGGTCCCACGGGCACGTGATTGTCTCCTCAGTCGTGTTCACAAGGTTGCTGGAAACATCTGTCAACTGGTCCAGCCCGCTCTCCTCCTGGTCGCACGTAACCACACTTTCTGCTGAGGAATGGGAGGACCCGAGGGTCTTATGTCGCTGCAGTAGGGCGTGCAGGGAACTGTGGCTGAAGGAATTGGGCCAAAAGACTAATCTTTTGCACCTCTCAGGAAATTCCTGGCACCTCCCCTAGAACTCTGACATGAGAGAGGAGGCACTGGCTAAGCTCTGTGTTCAGTGTCGTCTGCTCGTACAACGCTGAGTGGCTGCCAAGTAGCTACAGAATGTTTGCGGTGCATTAATATCCGTGGTCTTTCCCCATCCCTCCTCTAGCAAAAGCAAAACAAAATGAAGATGTAGACTCCACCATACACCAAATTCAGAATTCTAGTTAGACCGCATTTCCTTTTTCTCATGATGCAGACAAGTAATCAAATAAACAGATGATGTAACCCATCCAAGATCAACTATTTTGTTGCCACGATGTATTTTAAAATGGGTTTCTAATAGGAGATTCTAATGTATTCTTCAAGAGATTGGTGTTATACGTAGAACTAAAGGAGGCATAAAGCAGCCATTGGATCTTCTGATGGTTGGCTTTTCCGGTTCCAAAGTTCGTAGGCCGACGTCATTTCCTCCTGCTATTAGGAAGTGTATCAGCATGCTTTTGGATGCAAGTAGCGGAAACTTACTCACCATGGATTAAGGGAATATTATTGCTGTTGTTGGAAGGGGAGATCAGCCGTGTTACTGAGGACCCTGACTCGCTCTCTCTCTCTGCTGCTTGGCACACGGCATCATTTCATCCTAAATCTGGTTCGCTCTGTGGTTGGTTTCAGGGCAGTAAGGGCTGCGTGTTTCTTACTTATGTCCAGCAGTAGAGCTCCTCTAATCATGGAATGTAAGCACTATCCTCAGTGTCTAACTGGATTCTCCTGTCCAGTTAAAAGTTGATGGGGACAACTTCAGGCCCGTATGTACCAATCCCTGGACCATTAAGAGTAGAATTTCAGTGCATTGGCTGGGATCAAATTCATTCTGATCATGGAGCTCCTTTATTGGGCTGAATAATTAATCAAATCAATATTCTCTCCAGAAGGAAGGGGAAGCTCTGTTTTGTGTAGACGAGCAACAGCGCCCTCTGCAGGAGTGTTCATTCCCTTTGTCCCCTTTCCTTGACTTCATGGAGGTTATTAAAAGGAGGAGACTGAAAAGGAGCCACTTTTGTTACTCTGTCATGCAAACTTTTTTCTTTTCTGCCCTTTTCTTTCTCTGTCATTATTTTGTCAAGGATTATTAGGAGTCAACAAAGTTCATGGATTTTTGAAAAGACATTTATTATATTGTGGTGTTTTATGTTATTTTCCAGATGCTGAAATAACGACACTACATTTGCAACAAACCTTGCCTTCATTTACTGGTCCACAGATAATTGTGTTTTCAAAGCCCTTTGCTTCAGGGAAATGAAGCCCTTTTATCTTAAAATGTATATTTTTATCTGTTTTCAAACATTAAATAGTCTTGAGAATGTGTTATTCTTGTCTGACACCTCTTTTGGTTTTTAAAAAACTCTAATTGCCTCTATTTTCTAGGCTTACCAAGAGGTTAAAGAGTGAATCCCTGAAATCCGACTTTACGATAGATTTAAAACACGAGGTAGGTCGTGGTTGGTTTGGTGAAAAGTCTTTGTAATTAAGAGTGTCTTGACATAAAAGGTGTTTTGTGTTCCCTTAAATGTGCCCCCCCCCCACATCTTCTCCCAGCAGGAGACCTGCAGCACCCTGAGAGGGGCCCTTCTCTTGCAAGCTCCTCTAGGTCACGAAGGTGGAGAGGAAGGTGGGAAAGATTCTTCATCCTTTGTTTTTAAGCTCAGCGGGGGAGGGGGGGTCCAGAGGTGGATTTTTGAAAACATGCACAAATATTACTCAGATACCTCTGATTTTATTTGGCGCTTTGGTTGCACATGAGCCTTCGTCACATCTCTGTGCTTGGTCCTCTGGACCAGAATTGAGCCAGATGGCCCCAAGCAGGCAGCTGTGGCCTGCTCGCCTGGACCCTCAGCACCTAGTGGGCATCTGTGACCAAGTACCTGGAGACAGGTGACAGGTGTCCCATATTAATCCACGAATCTCTCCTGAATCAGCCTTAACAAGGTCTCTGTGCATTTCATTTACGGCACTTCTGACTGCCTGAAACAGCCATCCCTCTGTATCTTAGGACGTGGGGTCAGTCTCGACAGGTCCTGAGCCCAGCAGTGCTGGCGGCCTGCCAGGAGTGAAAAACATACTCCCAAGGTTTTCATTTTGAGGAGTGTTTTTAAAGGATGAAGAAGCTTATTTGAGGAGAAATGTACATGTAAAAAAATCATTCTTTTCCATAAAAGGGAAAGAATGACTAGTTGAAAGCCAGGGTCCATCTAGATATTTCTACTGAAAAGTCAGCTTGGGTGTGGAGACCCAGGTTTGGGAAACTATTAAACACTGAGTAACATGCAGAAAAATGAAGGTATAAGGATCAGCCAGAATATCTGTGCTGAGGAGCTGGAACTTGACCAGGTGTTTGGAAGCCACCTGCACACATCTCCCCAGTGGCTCCCTCACCAGAGTAAACAACTTTCTCGAATTTTCTGTTTCCCTTTTCTTCATATTGTACAAGCTTCGAATGAATCTCTGCATAACATATTGTGCAGTGATTGCATCCTTCTGGATTCTGTGTAAGCAGAATCATACCATGAACATTGTTCTAGTTGGAAGCTCATCCGTGTTGACGGTGGGGCTTTCAAGAGCTTACGGTCGTTTTCAGGACGGTCTCTCATGTGACTGTGCCACAGCTTTGTCGTCCGTTCTCTGGCCCTGGGTTTCTGGGCTGCAACTGGCTTTTTGCTGTCACAGTTACTACTTCTAGGAGTATTTTTGTCGTGTATTATGATGATCATCTGTAAGAGCTTCTCTAGGGCAGAAGCTTTTACTCTGTTCTTTTGACTGTGACCCACTTTAAAAAGCACGTTTTTTCATGGTGACTTAGTGTACTTGTGTGTTGTTATTGTGTCTTACTGATTTCTAGCTTCGTGTCGGTGGCCTGTACAAGTCATCTGACATATTTTTTAGGTGTAATTCATGTTCACTTTTCATAAACGGAGAGAAGGATGTACATGCTCTAATCTGGGGGTCTAATGTTCTCTTTGTATCTGTTAGGTTAACGAAGAAATAGATTTTCACATATTTTATTTCCTCCTGCCCTCCTCCCTTCATTCCCTTCCTTCCACTGTTGCTTTGTATGCTTGATCTCTCATTTACCAAGGGAGGAGTGTGAAAATCTTCCAGAATAGTGGGACAGTGTCTTCTTGGGGACCTGCCATCTCTCGCTATTTATACTCTGAAGCTATGTTAATTAGATGCATGCAAGTTGAGAATTGTTACATCTTCTTGGTAAATTTATCTTTTATCTCTAGTGATGCTCCTTGCCTTAGAGTTAATTTTGTCGATGGGAACACTTCTGTACTAGCTTTCTTCCGGCGTTGCCTCATAACTGTTTTCGCCGCTTTCTTTCAGTCCTTTGTGTCCTCATCTTCTGATGTGTCTCTCTTAAAGAGGACGTGTGTTTTTCTCTCCTGGTTTGACAGTCTTCATCTTCAAACCATGCAGGAAATTGATGTGTACATTTTTCATGGTGAATAACACTTTATTTTATCCTTTGTCCCTGTTTTTTTTCCTTTTAAAAATTTCCTTGCTTTTAGATTTTTTTTTTCATTCCATTTTTTTCCCCTCCTCTGCTGTTTTGGAAGTTTAGCCTCAATGTGTGTTCCCTAATGGTTATTTTAACATGCATTCTTAACCTAACAATCCTGAAAATTCAAGGCCAGAGACTAATTTAACTCTGATTGTCCCCTCTCCCAGCTTATATGCTCTGTTGTCCAGGATTTGTGTGCTTTATTTGAACCGTGCAACTCAGATGCTATCCTGTTTACGCAGGGAGCACCTGCGTTCGCCTCGCCCTCTGTTACCAGTGGCTGTGCTCCCTCCTCACTCTTGCTTCTCCCACCTGCCAACGGGATCATGTTTATTCTTCCTGGATTACATCCTTCAGAATGCCCTTGTTAGTGAGGTGGCAAATTCTCAGTTTTTTTCTTTAAAAAATAATTTATTTCAGCTTTGTTCCTGAGACATAGCTGCCTTGCGTACACACTTCTAGGTTGTCAGGCGCGGTCTGTCGTCACGGTGTTGTCACCCCGCTGTGTGCTGGCTGCTGTCACTGCTGTGGTGCTGGGAGGCCGGCCCTCACTCCCCGTGGTCCCCGTGTGGGTAACCTGGCCTTTCTCTTTGGTGGCTTTTGAGACTGTCTCCTTGTCTTTGGTCTCCGCAGTGCCTCTACGGCGTGTGTGCCCTAATCCTACTTGGCATTCAGTGAGCCTTTCTAGAACAGCAATTTTACAAGATGCTCAGCCATTCCACTATTTTCTCATCCCTGTGTTGCCTCCTCCTGGGACTCTAGACTCTGCGAGGGCCGACCTTCTCCACGTTTCCCATCTCTGCATCTTGCTGTGCTCTGTTCCACATAACTGGGCTCTAGCTTTTAGCGCCCGCATTTTTAGTCAGCTGTGTCTAATATGCCATTATCTTCACCATTAAAATGTCCTTTTTAAGCCTTATATTTTTCACTCCCAGGCGTTCTAGTCACTTCTTTTTCAGATTTTGCTCTCTTGCATAATTATATAGAACTTTGGCTCATGTTTTAAAGTTTTTCTTTTCTTTATAAAACTATTTTAGCAGTAATGCTGCCCCCAAAGCCTCTGGGGTGGGATGAGGCCGTGTCTGCTGGCTCGTCCTCACCATTGCATCCTTTGTGCTGCTTTTGGTGACTTTTCTGGGAACTCTTGCTCCCTCGGAACTCCATCCAGGGCAGCCCCCTGGGTCCTGGATTAAGGTCCTGGGGTCCTCAGGAAGGGTTTGCGTTAGCTTTTGCCTGCTGCCGGAGGCTCTTGCTGACTTAGGACCACTTTAAATTACTCTGAGCTGTTTGGGGGCCACATAGGTGACAAATTAGGGAGACCTGGTAACAAAATCTCAGAGGACATCTGGAGAGGATTTTTCTTTCCATCTAGTGCCCAGTGCCAGCGTCGTGTGCGGGTTTTGCTGACAGACACACCCCCCGTTGGTGGGTCGCGGGCTTTGTTCTCTTAACTGGCGGATCAGAACCTCTGCCTTCCCTGAGCTCAGCGGATCCCCACCCGGGAAACTACCCTCGGAGCCCTTTCCCGCAGGTTCTCACTTGTACATTTTTGTCCTCACAAGTTCCACACTTTTGTGCCAATTTAATAATGCATTTAAAATGATTTTAAAGATATTTTATCCAACATTTTAAGGTATTTTTAGCTGGTTATTCAGGGTCTGTACTTGCCACCCTGTGGGAAACCAGAGTTGTGATAATATTTCCTTTTATCCTTCTCTCTGATGCTTTAGAATCCCTGAAACAGCTTCCCTGAAATTGCTATGACCACTTTGCAATCTTCTGCAGGTCAGAATATTGATTCTTAATTGTTTATGGTTAATAAAAAATTAGATTGCTCCACATGGAATTACTAGTTTTGTAAGTTAAAAAAATCAAAAACACTTGTTGAATGTTGAATGTTGATAAACTGATGTGGTTCAACCCGACATCCCCTGGAGAAGGATGGCCTGCTTTTCTTTGAGATGCTTCCTGCCTCCACCTGCCCGCGGTGCTGGCGGAGCTTTGTCATGACGCCCGTCTCCTGTGTGACAGATCGCCCTCTACATCTGGGACAGAGGCGGCGGACACCCCCTCACTCCGGTGCCCGAGTTTTGTACCGACGGTGTGGACGCGTCCTGTGCTACCACATTCCGTTCTTTTCTGCCGCTCTGTGTAAGTAACGCCAGGGCCTCTTCCTAGCCGTCAGAGGGAAACGCACCTGCTGTGCACAAGGCCGGCCTAGCACTTTACATGCTGAACAGTAAAATCAACATTTGCCGTGTGCCTGGTGAGAACTCTGTGCATCACATTTCCAGTGATGACAACCCCAGGAGGTGAGCCCTTTGTTCCCCACTTGACAGGACAGGAGGGAGGCGTGGAGAAGCTAAGCACTTGCTCAGGGTGACACAGGGACTACACAGGGAAGTGAGTGAGCTTGTGACCTGCATTCTCAGCCCAGGGCCTGTGTGCAGCGCTCGCTCCATGGAGACTGTGTGCCCGGGGTCTGTTCTTCTGTTGACAACAGAGCATGGAGCTTGGGATTTCAGTTCTGTTCCCTAGGAAGGTGATGAGACATTTCCCGTCAAGCTGCAGCCTTCTCCTCAAGGCCGCCCCCTTTACCCTCTCAGCCAGTGACCCCACTTTGATGTCACCTGAGACTGTCCAGAACTTTCAGAATGAACTTCCTTGTTCTGGTGGACCCTTGGTCCAGTCCCCAGGAGGAGCCTGAAGACCCTGGCACTCAACTGGGTGGCTAACAGTTCTTCTTCATCAGGAAAAATGGATTCAGCACCTCAAACGTTGTCTGTTATTTTCAAGTCAGTGACACAGAAGTCTGCATGTTGCACTGTCAAAGAGGAATATACGTATACGTACACGTACACACACACACGCTCTCACACACTCATTCACATACACTCACACTCTGCAACAGTAGGGGAGAAGCTGTAATGTTGGCACAGTGCCTGAGGGGGGAGTGTCTTTCTAGACATTACGCTTGCTTGTTCTTTAGTTCTTTTGGAAAGTCTGGAGGGTCTGACCTGGTGTCTTGAGTGACGTGACCAAACTACGGTTACATGTCACTATAAACCAGCCCCAAATGATGCAGAAATCATGACTGAATATTGATTGTTCCAAGCCTAAGACAGGTGATGAGGGGGTCAGAACACCTGCCCCCCCAACCATGAAGCACCAGGGTCGGGGTGCAGGCTGTCCACAGACTCTGCCCTGTGCCCCTTCGCCTGAGTAACCAACCTGGGCTGCAGCCAGCTCAGGCCTCCAGGCTCCCGCAGGTGTTTGAAGTAGTCCTGCCTTTGGCAGAGGACGGAGCATCACTATTGCCTAGACTTGGGTTGGCAATAAAGGGCCATAAAAATACGTCAAACATCACAGTGAGGCCGGGCTTGCAGAAGGGTGTCACCTCTTACTTTGCGCTGAAATGTCCGCCTACTTCTCCCTTCCTTTGTCAAAATCTTCCCCAGCTGGAGAAAGGAAAGGGATGGGTGCCAGCATTTACTGAGAATCTCTGACGTGCGTAATAAATTGGTGTACTAAAAGCAGCCTGGCTGGTGGCTGCCATTCCAGCGTGCTAAACGAGCAGACTGCAGTTGAGAGAGCTGGGGACGCTGGTTCCGGTGACACTGCCTTTGTGGCAGAGCTGGGACTCTGGTGTAGGCCGGGCTGACTGCAAAGGTTTTACTGTCAGCGGAGCTACAGTTCCTTTTTTTCCTTAAAACTTAATCCTGGAAACAAGTCTGATATCCCTGACGTCGGTGAATTTGAACTTGGGAGCATGAGAGAGCATGTGGGTGTGAAGTTAAGATACACTGACTCATACATGCATATATTTTTTTCTTTTCTTTTAGGGACATCCAGTGAAGAAGGAGGATATTTTTGTTGCAGTAAAAACATGCAAGAAATTTCATGGTGACAGAAGTATGTTTTGGGTTATTCATTTTTATTGGACTTTAATAAAAGTCCAAATTGCCTTTAAAAAAAAAACTACAAATCGGTTATAAACTCAAGAAAGATAATGACAGATATATTACTGAAGTGAAAGCACTTACTTAGTCAGTATTCTTCATTATACCACTTCAGTCTCCAAGATCAGTCACAGAAATAATTCTGTATTGCAGCGTGAGTGGTCATAGCCATTCTAAGGACTGATTAGAGCAGTATTTTAAATGGGAACTGGAAAAGCTCAGCTGTGGCAACTGAGGAGACAGTAAGTGGATAACAGTCCATTTTACAAAACAGCGTCCTGTGATGTCCATGCAGTCTCTGAGCTGTGGGAAAAATACCAGAGGGAATTTCAAAGTAGCAGCATGCCAGAAAGAGTGTTTTCCTGAAGACTGTTCCCTCTTTTTATATTTATTCAAATGCAAATATTAGAACTTCAAGGATATGTACTTGCTCATACATAGATATACTGGAGAAAAGGAAAAAGGTGCCTTACAAGCAGTGGTTCCTCCTTAAGGAAATCCTGCATGCAGATGAGTGTTGTTTTCATTCAAATTTTTGGTGTCATTACAGAATTCTACTATGTTACGGTGATATTAACAAAAAAGCCTATCCTAAATATAAATACATAGTTTATCTCTTCTTTTCACCGTATTTCAAGCAGCACTGACCTGAAATTGAGAATTAGACAGCCTTTTGCATTTTCTAATTTTAGCACATATTTTAATTTTTGTCCATGAAAAGACTCTCAGTTTTCAACAAGAGTGTGATATTTATATAGGAGAGATTTCTAAACCAGCTATCATTTTTGTGGGATTGGAGCTATGGGAGTTCATTTATATAATTTATGTGATAACATGATATTTACAAATTATATTTTAAATGGGAATGTATTTTCCAAATAAAAGAATATTATAATTTGGGATCAAAGTACTGCCTAAGACACTGACATCAGTTCAAATCTGGTTATAATCAACAAGATCTTACAAGTACATTTGTTGACGAACTCAGGTTTGGCTGCTTGCTGCTCAAAAGCTAATGAATTCGAGAGGCAAGTGTCAGTGGGAAGGAAGGATGCTTTGATCAGAAAAGCCGGCAATCTGGGGAGAAGGTGGACTCCTGTCCACAGACCATCTCTGAAGAGTCTGCTCGGCCATGGCAATTTTTAAAAGGAACATGGGAGGGAAGAATCTCAGTGGATCACCGAGGCAGGAGGTTGGGGTCTGCAACCTTCTCCACTGCCCGCAGACTGGTGGACTCTTCAGTTGTTATCTTGCCCGTGTGATCTGCCTGCAGGATTGCTCAGGGGCTGGTGGGCCTAGAGAGCTAATCGTTCTTTAACTGCTTACTTCTTCATTCTTATTTCTTTTTATCTAGGAAAATCAACAGGTTAGGGCATGACATGCATTCAGGAGAGCATAAGTCAGGGGTTAGTTTCAGTTGCTTAGTGATCTCATTCCTATACTTAGGTTAA